GTGCAATATCAAATGAGAAGTAAGGCCACAAATATAAATATATTCCCAGCAATATCAGACTTTCCGTGTAGACAAAACTGACTTGTTTTGGAACAGTAGGCCTGAAAGAATGTAGAATATATACACAAGGAGAAACATCCACCTTTACTCTAAAACATCCAAGGACATGCCTATTTGGTAGAAACACATTTGGACTCCAAGCTCAACTCCTTCATGATGACTTTGGCCTTACCCATGGACACACAGACCCAAATCTTGTCTGGAAGGAGAGTAGCTTCCTTATTTTCAGAAAATGTATAAGCAGCATACTAAGGTTTAGCAGCTAAGCCAGAAGGGTGCATGTGAACCAAAGGACTGTTTTAGCAATAAATTCTCCTAGCCATTGGGGGTATCTCTGGTTTACATACTTGTTATGTTGCTAGAAGTAGCAAACACTGCGTGCCTATGAGTTGTTGAACTTCCTTTGACAAGGGGACAAGGGGTTTGGTCAAGACCTGGATGTGAAAGCATTTGGTATTTCCCGTTATTACCACAATCTCAGCTGTATCCTTTGCCTTCTTCAAGGCAATCCCTACCTGTCTGGTTCACATCAGCACCATGCAAGCAAGGTTTCCTTCAAACACAACAGCGATCTCTCTCTCATCCCTTCCAATATCAAAGATACCAACACAGGGCAGAAAGAAAAATGATGGATAGAAAAATCAACCCCAGGAAAAGGTGCTCCACATGGTGGAAGCACAAAAAGTCAAGGGGGAGTTGTTTCAAAATATACACAATGCCAAATGTCAAAACGTCCTGCTTAGGAAGGAACACTGCACATAAGGATTGCATGCAGAGATGTAAGATGGAAAAAAAGCAAAACGCATGTGAACAACAACAGAGAAAGAGAAACAGTGATGCGCTTGAGGAATGTAGCCCATCTAACCAGGGGGCAGATATGGTCATGTTTTGTACCTGGAACACAAAATTAGTACAGAGGGGAGATACGGTGACAATCTTGGTATTGTTTTCTGTCATATGCTTTAAATCTATCTTGGTAAAAAAGTAGTTAATATGTTTTTAATTGGTTTTGCATGTGAGTTCATCTTTCAAGGTTAGAAAAAACACTGAACTTAGGTGGAAGCAACAAACAATGGGGTAGTATTAATAATCTGGAAATGACAAACACAAACACGTTGGGAGAAAGTGACCACTGGTACAGTTAGAAATAAAATACACCATTAAAATATTTTTCAAAAAATTCAGAGAGTTGGCAGACCCAGAAGACCTCTTGAAATGCAGTTCAAGAACGGTTTTGCAGTTCTAAAAATGAAATGCTGATTTTATTCTCACAAATAATCCCAAAGGGAAACAAAAGAGGCATCTATAGGAAGATCTGGCTAGCTAGGGAACTATATTTGATATGGTGGGACTAAAAGTTCATACACAAAACCGAAGAGGAACAAGGTGGTAGTAAAAAGAATGCCTGAGGTACAA